GAGAAACACAAGGGTAATCAGCAGAGTGATGAGGGGCAGCTGGGCAAAGACACACTGGGGAACATAGAAAACACTAGGAAAACTAAGAAAATAAACACAGATCATGACATAAACATTCATATGAAATTATGAGATACTTTACGTTTTCACAGTTCTAAGTTTTTTCTGTGTTTGAGGCTTATTTTTTTAGTTTGTCTTTTTATCAGCCTCTCAGATAAACACACATTTTTCAAGGCCAACTGGTGTTTTACGTTGGGCACCATGTCGGTTTCAGTGTAGGCTTTATTGTTAGCAAGTGTTCAGACCCAAAGAGCTCTCTTACTTTATCGTCTGGTGTCGGGGAGAACATGCTGTGTCCAAGTGGATGTTTGGACAGATCGTAGGGGTAGGACACCAGCAGGCCCCCACCGTGGAAGTTAGCTGAGAGCACAAACGGGATGGAGCGGATCCACTTCATGACGGCATACGTCTCCGGTGCGACCTACAACCCAAAATTTTAAAAAACTCCTTAACTCACGAATCCTGTTTAACTACAAGCTTTGGAAACACTGTTGTCTTTTAGGCCATGAGGGTTCACTCTGTACCTTACCAAACCAGTAATTATCTGGGATTGGGATGTGGTCGGTGCGGAAGCTCCTTTGTCTGCGTCTGCTGTAAACGATGGACGTCAAATCGGGGAAGTTTCTGTTTAAGTCAATGTTCTGAGCGTTGTTTCGGCCCACGTTCCAAGAACGATAACTATGTCCCTGAAGATTTAAAAAAATAAGTGTTTTAGAACAAATCGTTTGAGTTTTAGATTATTTAATTTAAGAATTTTGGTGTAGAAACACTGAAGATGGAAGATTATTAATGTCTAACTAATGTATTTTGTTGTTTTTCTTAAATGACAGCTTGATTTTTAATGTTTTATCACATTGATTTAACTAACTAGCCATTCATTTAACCAATTAGTATGAATTATTTATCTATTTAGTACAAAAATGTTTCCTTCAAACATACTTATATTTTTGACCCTCAGAAATCTGTAATTTTCACAAAACAATTCGTAGGAACAAAGTTTTTGAAAACTCTCTAAGACCTCTACACACTGTTTGTAAACATGCAAAATGGGGAAAATCTGTGTGATTTATAGACATTCTGCAGAACTTAACATATGTCAGTATGAATACAGTTCTAAGCTATAAGACAGATGGCTCCAGGGGTGCCTTCAAGGGAAGGAGAAGAGGTCACGCTTAAAAAACTGGTGGCCCCCCATGGTCCCCCCTTGGCCAGACTTTGAGTCCCAAATTTTTCCTTGTTGTTCATTTTTAAATCCTACTAATTATTTAGGATTAGTAGAACATCACAAACACAAACATGGTTTAATCGAATCAAAGGTGCAGAGCAATAAACATAAATAATTGTGATGTTATTACCTCATCGTCATCATAAGCATTGTCACTGGCTCCAGACGCAGCCACCTCATATCCATCAGGGTTCATGGAGGGTAGGATGTGGATGCGGGTCGTGTTGACGAGGTTCTGAATGTGCTCGTTTCCTTTTAAATACTCAGAGCAAAGGTACTGAGCCAAGTAGATAAGCAGCTGGCGTCCCACGGCTTCATTTCCGTGCATGTTTCCAACGTATTTTACCTCTGGCTCCACTACACAGAGACGTGGTTAACGTGGTCGTACTTTAAAATGAGAATGAAGAAGAGACGTACTCACAGAGCTCATGTTCTCCAGGGTTCTTCGAAAACTCGATCACCAGCAGCTCCCTGCCCTCCAGACTGCGACCGATGCTGTAGGTTCTGGCGATGTCAGCGCACTCTTCCTCGGTCTTCTTTAAGACGCTGATCATCTGAGAGTTGGAGTGGTAGGTAAACTGTATCGACTCAACGGGCTCCTCGAGAAGTAAAAGTTCCATGGCTGCTTCTGCAGCTTCGTCTTGTTCTGCAGGGAAAGACAAAACAAATCACAGTCCTTTAAATATATCATTAAAGATGTATCAGATAAATGGCATCTGTGAGAATTGTCTTATTGATTTATGGGGTTCCTGGAGTGCCAAAAAAATAGTTTGGGGAAATTATTGTAGAGGATGAATTCAAAATGTATTTTTTAAAAATATGTTACACAATTAAATTAGAAAAACATGATGTGATTTAAATTCAATGTGTACACCAAAAATAAATAAAGCTTTCTGTACATTGTTTATATTTATACTTATAAATAATTGTAATCTGTGATACGTATAAAATAAGCAGTAAAAACTCATTTATGGGGTTAAACAAACATTTTGCAGTCACATTGCCTGGATCAAAAGCATTTTATTTATTGTTTAAAAACAAATGCCTTTGTTCAGTTTTAATTTTTTATTGAAGTGTTTAAGAAATTTATTTTTTGTTGTTTTTAGCACTTTTGATATTCTGTATTTTTGTGCTAAATGGTTTACCTATTTTGTGTTTTTTAATGAACAATATTTACCTTAAAATTGCACTAAATTTTATGCTTGTGATACAAAAATAGTGTAACAGTTACATCCTGAAAACATTTCCAACAAATTTGAATCTTTGTTTGTAGTAAATTTGTAATACTGTTAAAGATAAGTTATTCAGTTTTACAGAATGACAAAGAAAAAGTAACAATTTCAATGGGTAAAACCATAGAACGAACTTGAAGAGAGTTACTTAGCTCTGAAAACAGCTTCAGGCAAAAGGTTTTGCTTCACAACAAAATCCACTACAGCATCTGGAACTGCTTTCAATTTCAGATTATATGACTTTTTCAAGAAACACTTCAATAAAATTCATGCAGTTTGTCTCCAAAATGATACAGCTAATAAAAACAATAAAATGACAAGTGGACAATGTCTGTGTTGAGTTTTATGTGGAGACAAAAAGGCGTTCCTGTTTGAACCGAGCCACATGTGGCCCACATGCCTTCACAGCACACGTTGTACAAAAACTTAAAAACTGTAAAATGTGTTTCTGCTTCAACTAAACTGATTAAAACCAGTAGGTTTGAGTTATCAAGTACATCAAAGAACCAGAAATTGGTGGAATTTTACTGTTTTCTGTGATTTACATATGAAAAATCAACAAACACTTTGAGGTTTGTGTGTTTTTAAGCCTGTGGGCTGTGACTGCCTGAGATGAACTGGAGAAACAAAGTTTGCAGGTATTGTTTATATAGGTTATTTTTCCTCTGTTTCTGTGACTCCATCCGGACAGGAAACTAAAAGTGTAAAACATTTGTTGAAAGATCCATGCCACTCCATCAGGTATCAATTTGTTGACTTTAAAATAGAGAAGAACCTCTGAGCTCTGTAACTTGGTTTTTGTTTTGATGCCGTCAAAAATTTCCTCACAGCTGTTTTTTTTTTCACAAAGTAAAATGATTACAGAGTCAAGACAAAGCAAGTCAGATGTGGAAAAACCAAACCAAAAATGGTCTCGTTACGATTGTGTTTTTTAGCGCTCAAAGCAATAGTGCGTGTAGACTGCTGTGTCATTGTTCTTCCAAAACTTTGTTGTGTACAGGAACACATCAAAAGCATAATTTAAAAAAACTCTAAACTTTGKGAAAGAATTTGTGAAAAATATTGCTTTTTTCCACAGAAAATGTAGCTTATGTGAATATGAGCAAGTCACTATAGGTGGTGTTTGTTACCTTTGAGGCCCTCTAGAGGGTCGTAACATCCCTCCTCATCACTGACGTAGAATCGGTCACAATCCAGGAAGTAGGGCCAAGCCATCCTGATGGCCTCAAAAGCATGCTGRCACTTCTTGTGCACGGCTTCACACGTGCTTCGACAGGGTCTCAGCACTGCGTTCTTCTCGCAGCGGGGGGTCAGCACCGAGCAGCCCAGCATGCGGATCTCAGGGTTACACTGGCCCMCGAGCAGAGAGTCCACCACGCTGATGAGGAGGTACTCCACGCTGGCGTCCACRTCCTCACGGGTCTTGTGTCCGAGGATGTTTGGGAACATGGTCTGGGGGTAGGCCATGTCCTCACAGTAGGACAGCACTAAATCTGCACATTTGGCTGAAGTAGAAAAGTTGTACACAACTTTCAGACAGATTAGGGACATTAAATGTCATAGTACATATAATTATGGAACAAACGAGCTCATTGAACGTTTGTCCTTACACTGCAAATAAGTACTTAGAGRGCTAGTAGTTTTACTTCAAGTACTTAAACATTCTACAAAGTAGTTAGTAAATTACCGTTAGCTACTTAATAGAACAATTTTAGTTTCTAGTTAGGCATTTAATAGAAATCCAATTTATTAGGTTCCAATTTACTAGCTAGCTAACAAATTACTGGTTTTTTTTCTAGCTAGTATGTTAGCTAATCATTCAATATAAAAATAATTCCTTGCAAAGTTTTCAGGTATGTCATCACTATGCTGACTTCTTCATCGAGTTAGTTTTATCAACATTTATTCAAAGTGTTTGAACATTTTGTACATTTCTTTATTTTCCTTTTGTTCTATGTTAATCTAGATTGTCAATTATTATGTGATGTGCTGCTGACCTCTTGACCAGGTCACCCTTGAAAAAGAGATCTTGATCTCAATGGGCTTTACCTGGTTAAATAAAGG